AATAATTTTTTATTATAACATAATTTAAATTTTAAACTCAAATAAATAAAATAAATGAGATCTTACAAAAGTCAACTAACGCAAATAATGATCTGGGCAGAGTTCAGAACCCACGAGATGAAGGCAAAAAATTAATTATACGCAAAACAAATTTAAATTAAAAAAAATACAAAGAAAATTAAAGAGGACAAAAACATGAAATTTTATCCCTATTTATCATCTAAAAATAATAAAAAAAACTTTTCAATAGGTGCGTGTATAACCTCCCGTGTTGTAAGGGTTATGTTGTAGTTTCCCCATTCCAAGCTGTCCCTGCATTCCATCCCTCGCATACTGCTGCCACATCAGCTGCTCCTCCACCAACAGCTTCTGCTTCTTCTCCATCTCCGACATCTGAACGTACGGCGGTGGCGCCACCGCCAGAGACGCGGCGAAGGGGTCCACATTAATTGATGTAGAGGAGGCCGCACCATTGCCGTTGGATGATTCCACCGGCGGTGCCGGTAATGCCAGCATTGCCGGCTGCCCCGAGGACCCTAGCGCGATACTGCTAGCACTCCCACTTGCTCCAAACCCCGAACCTGCCACGGCTGCCGCCGCCGCTGCCTGTTTGTACATGCCGTCGAGAACATAAATGTCGAAACCGCCGGCGAGGGCCATCTTTTGATGGGACAAGCCGCTGGCCGACTGAACCAGCGCCGTCTCCCAATCTGCGCCCCCATCCGAAAACGCTTCCCATGACGGTGGAGTTGGTTCCGCCATTGCTGGCGCGGACGGAATTCCGTCGAACAAAGCTAGGGCTAATTTGTCTCCGTGTTGTTCACTTGTCAACGCATTTTCTCCCAAGTTCAACAGATCACCTTGTTGTTGTTGTTGGTGAGGTTTATTATCAGCTTTCTCTTGTTCAAGTTGTTCCCTTTTCTCATCCTCAATTTGAGGTTCCGAAACATGATCCTCCGGCGCCGGAAGTGCTTTTATGGCGTTCATATCTTCTCCTTCTTCAACAGGATGATCTTCTTCTTTTGTATCGCTGATCTTATTCTCTGCTTCAGCTTTTAATCTCAACGTTTGTGCGTTAGCTGACTTGTCGCGTATGAAGTCATCCATGACCTCGAGTTTCTTGGGAGTGATCTTCTCAACTTCCGGGTATTCGGAAGATCGGGCGATTCCGATGATTTTGCACCAGCTATAAAAAATGTCGAGCTCGTCGAACTGTTTCCCGACGCGGCAGAAGATGTCGTGAACCTTTAAACAGTCAGGGATTTCCATTTCCATGAAACGGTCGATTAAGACGCCCATTGTTTCTGTGAGGTCGTAGTAAATTTGGAAACTTTCTTTTACTGAGGGGTATAGGGCCACAATTACAACCCTATTAGTCTTCGCTGCACCTGTTGAGCATTTAAAACAACATAAAAAATGAAAAAAAGAATAAAAAAAAAAGACCTAGGGAATGTTGCTGTTTAAATCAAACAACATGTCTTGAGTTTGTTTAAAAACTACACGAAATTCCATCATTTGTGGAAAGGTCCATTGTTTCTAAACATTTTGGAAGGAGCTCATTTTTTTTTGCGTTGGAAATGTTCTCCTACAATTAAAATGTTTCATCCGATAATTAAAATGATTCATCCTATAAATACGTATATATATTTCTATATGCACAGATATTTACCTGCATCATGCATGCATCTATACGTGTAAATCATGCATAAATTTTCATTTCTTTTTTATATTTTGACAATAACAACACAAACATATATAAATGCGGTCTCATAAATCTACAAACCTGTGGGGCGACAGGCCAAAAACCTCTCAAGCAATTGCTGCAAATGCTGAGCCCTCGGAAACACCTGCTCCGTCTTCATTTCCCTCACCGGCGTAGCCCTAACGATCATTTGCTGCTGTCCCATCGCCGTCTCATCGTCGTCCTCATCGAACCCGAACGCGCTACGCCTTCCGCGGCGGCTCTGCATCCGGTACTCGAGCCGCTCGTCGAGGTAGAGCGCGTAAGTCCGAACGAAAGCCGAGTAATCCCACGACGACGAGCTCGAATTGTCCCGGAAGTCCGACATGTTGAGAAAGCGCGTGCCGCGGCGCGTTGAGAAGAAGATCTCCTGCTCGTAAGCCGGATCTCCATCGTTCAGCAGCCTCTGGACCAAAATCAGGGTCTTAAGCGCCACCGTCCAGTTTTTGGTCTTGTTAAGTCGTTTGGCTAGGGTGTTAACGCACGCGCTGATGAAGGCGCGTGAGTAGCACGTCAGGCTGAGGATCTCTCGTATGTACTTCTCCTCCGCCGGGTGTTCTTCGTGGCGCGTGGCCTTCACGATAGCCACGTCGAGGTCGGCGAGCGAGGCCGAGCCGCTGACCTTGGCGAGGCCTATGCTCGTCTGATCCTTGACGGCGTCCAGGGCTCTTCTTATCTTGCTAGGGGCCATGGCCGGATTTTATATATTAGAGGACAATATTGTGGAGGATATGGGAAATGTGAAGGGAAAATTTTGATTTGTTAAGAAATTGAATGATGAAAATGACAAGAAAGAAGAAACAACCTTTGGGAAAATTGAGATGATTTTTGCAGTGCCGGGTAAGGCGATTAAGGCAACTTCTAAGGACCCCATATTTCAAGGCCCTCTTATTATAGGAAAGTTTTAACTGATCAACTTTAAGCCTCAAGACCTCCTTTTTATTAGGAAATTCTTTACTAATTGTCTCTACACATGTAACACCTCAAGATGTTGAAGTTAACGGCATTAGTTGGATTCAGGTCCTTTGTCACTGTTTTATATGCCAAATAATTAATGCGTAACCTTTTTATGTTATGCCGCACCTAATTTAATGAAGAGGGCTTTGTAAAAATAACTCAATAGAAAAGTTTTATTAGTAAAATAACTTTTTAAAAATTTTTATTTATAAAATGATTACTTTTTACAAAGAATGATTAGGTGGTCCTTCTTCATAAAAAATAAAGAAGATCATTTTGCTAATTTCACTTTGTTGGATAGTCATTCCAGCATATTGCCCTTTAAGAGGGAACTTGGGAGGAAAAAAAAAACACATAGAAGTTAGTCAAAACTTTCAAGTGTTTTGTATAAGGTAATGGATTTGATATATATCATTTAAAACACAAAAATTGGATAAGATATGAGTCCATATTAATTAATCTTTCTTTTAAACAAAATCCTCTTAGTTTAGACCTTATGAGTTTGATTCCGTAAATTTCATAAAACTAAAACACGAAATTGCGAATTATATTTGTTAATTCTCAGTTTTAATTTTTCAAGTTAATTCTTCTTGTTTTTATATATCAATAATTGAATGTTTATTTTTCCAAACATCTCTTAGGATATATTTGATATGAACTACTGAATATCTAGTTTCCAATAATTGTCCATTTGAAACACACACAAAAAAAAAAAACGAAAACAAAAAAAAAGAAAACAAAAACAAAAGAAACAAAAGGAAAAAAAGGAAAAAAAAAAAAAAACACTTGGTTATTTCTGTTACTACATAACGTATATATGGACTCAACCTTTTATCCTAACATAACAACAAATCAATAACTTCCTTTCAACTTCATCCTTAATCATACTAACTACCAAAAAGAATAGTATATTATCAGTATTCAGTTATTTGCACTTAAATTCGTTCTTTTTTATGTTATTAGGATTTTTTTTTTTTTTTTTGCATCATTATTCCTTAAAATTTTCATGTTTTCTTATAAATCAGTCACTGAAAAAAAAAAAAAAAAAAAAAAAAAAAAAAAAAAAAAAAAAAAAAAAAAACCGTGTTGCATCAACAATTCTTTTGCTCATATCTGATATGCACATGACCTTCTCTTTCTCTCTCTCTTGGTTCACATCGTTGTTCATCTTGCTGGAAATATATGGATTTCGCAGAGAAACTTTTGCTCTCTTTTCCTTTTATATATATATATAAATATATATATATATATATGTTTCTTTATTGTAGATTTAATATTGATTTTCATTTTTTTTTCTGAAAGCAAAATTGGATTCAAGAAAAAAGAGATATGAACACTACTATTAACTCGAAAGACCCTACCACACAACGAGAGACTGATCTACCTTGAACAAAGACCAAACCCACAATTTTATTAGATATAAGAGATCATATACTAGCAATTTTTAGTGGATAAAGTGTCTAAATAACATAATTTAAGACATACAGGGATCCCAGAAAGTATATGATAGAATCCAATACAATAGCCAAACAAGCCAAAATATATATGGTTTGTGATGCTTGTAATTATATATCTTGGTCTTCATGTCCAAGCGGAATTGAGTTAAGAAGCAGTGAAGAGGCACAATCTTTTGTTTTGCAGTGGTATTGAACACCAAAACCATCTCTTCCATCGTAAAACCACATTGTCATCCTAGGAAGATTAGTGCAAATGTCAAGGAACGTACGAGAGAAGGGAGAATTTGCATCTCGATCTTTATTCAACTGCTTCCATGACTCATCAATTATCAACTTTATATGTTGACGCGCTTCATCCTCAGAAGCGCCAAATTCATTCATGTAGCACTGGATGGATGTGGGAACATTGCCCTTTTCTAATTCAAACTGAAACAACGAGAAGAAAAAATTAGGTCGATAATGTAAAGGTATACCCATTATGAAAAGCAATATTAGAAACCAAGCAATCTTCATGGTTCAGCTTGAATCCTAAGAAGGATGGTCAACACACAAAGACTAAGCTAGTAGGTACCTTGAATTATTTAGTTTTTAACGAAATTGTTAATTAAATTTTTAGTCAACTGCAAAAATATTGAATTTCCTAAGAGGGAGATGGGCTGAAGTTTTTGTTCTTTCACGTAATTTGATTATTTTACCCTATTAAAAAAGAGGCCGACAGGGACAGTCGGTTTAGCATTACTCTCATTAGGCGTTGTCAAAGTTCTACAAATGCTGTTAGCGAGGCATATTCGTTGAATGCTCTACAGACCTACCCCTTTATAAGGAGTGTGTCACCCCAATCTCACTTAACGTTAATAATAAATATGGATCTGGTGTTAGGCACTCTAAATAGAGTACTAGGTTGGCAAGCCCTAACCTTCACATTTAAGACCCTCAAAGAGAGCCACCTAGCACTAGAACCCTCAAAGAGGCTGGCAAGTCCAAACTAGCTAGCCATTTCCTAACAAGCTATATGTAAATGTAATACGCCCTGTTCAAAAAAATAAATAAATATAATATGCTTACAGGCAATGTAGAGAGATCATTGGTGAGTCGACCAATAATTGATGCTTCGCGGATTATACTCGGATACCCTTCCATGGCTAATAACATAATTGCCTCTTGCCTTAGTGGATTTGTCACACAAATATACGCAATCACTAGTACAATTGGTGCTGCAATGGAAACCCATCCATTCTCTAAGTATTCTTGGAAGGTTGGCGTGTGTCCACTAGTGTACCACTTTGCCTCCAGTAAATAACATTTACTAAGATCTGCCCACTGAACATGTTTAATAAGAGAGGCATTATAACTTGTTTTAATCCTTAAAATACATAATACAACATAAATAAATCGATAATATTATTGTTCAACCAAATCATAAAAAGAACTAAAATTAAAAGTTATAATTCAGGGTTTAAACACAATAAGCATACCAGTTTTTTAAGGTATTTAATGATGTGTAACCCTTGTTCTTTTAGAACATCATATGCCAATTCGTTTGTGGTGTTGTACACAGCAAGGAAGCTCAATTTCATAGTGTCAGATAATGCATCCATTGCATTCGTCTCCCAACTGCAATGCAGACATATGAAAGGATGAGTAACATCATAATTAATTTACGTGCAGATCCAGAATGTTATTTTAAAAATCTAACTATTATACGGGAAACATTTAAGATAAATATATTTAAAGGGGGGCACAATATTGAAACTAGAGAAATATATGGACCAAAAATTGAAAATTTAAGAAATTTTAATGGGGCACATGCCCTCACTGTTCCTTTAGCATGTTGAGTATTAAAGCTTGTGTAAAATTCAAATTCATCACGTTGATATATATGAATTCGAAGCATGAAAGTCAAACCTTTGAAAAGCATTTGTAAACTTCTCGAGTTCATCAAGTGTACCGTAGGAATCATATGTGTCATCAACTACTGTCAGCAGCAAAAATATTTTGGTTGAAATTTTTCTGCAGTATCCATATTGTGGTTCGAATACCATTCCCACGTTCCATAAGACATTCTCCACCAACCTATCTCTGCAAAAGTTCATAATTTGTCCAAGACCGCTGTGCCTCCACCACCTTTTTATGTAAATAAAAATAAAAAATAAAAACACAAAGAATCCAACAAAAATTAAAATGATATTTTTACGTTTAAGAATAAAGTAGCAATAAAAATCTAAACATGGCGTTTCATATATAGAATATACTAACGGTATAAGCCTATATGGGAGAATGATTTCACATTTAATATCCTATAGGTCATTTATGAATATAACATTTAACTTGCATGATGCAATAAGTTCCAAAAATTAATGTTGAGAAAATAGAAACTACTAATTATATGCATTACAGTATATTTTGCCCATCCGATTGATCTTAAAAACTAATAAAATAACTTAATAAAATTTAATCTCAAGTCTAATGCAACTCTTTACAAGAAAAGTACTCCTAGATGGCAGATGAATAATTTTAATTTGCCAAGGTTCCTAGTTTAAGAAATGGAGTTGTTATTCAGGATCATAATATTTACCTGTACAAATCTTTCAATTCTTGCTGGTGCGTTGATTGCACAATGTTGAAATCTAATATTGCAAGTTCAAGAGAAGTTGGATCCATATATTTCTTGTTATTCCTGCATAAATCAATAAACCACCTGGCTTCCACCCTAGGTACTCTCCAATGCAGTGGAACCTCCAAGGCATGGCCCACTAATATAGAAAGATAATTTTCCTCTTTGTTGTTCTTGACATATTCTTGAAGATTTTTGGAAGTAAAGTCTCTTGTTTCTTCCAAAATAGTTTCACCTTCCAGCAAGAGGAAGGACGCTTCATATAGCGATAACATCCCCAAGATATCATTACGTAGAGATTCCTTGAAATTCCTTGTCTCATCCATGAAAATATCAAAAACCTCTGTCATGTATAAAAATTACACATTAGTTTTATGATGTTTTTATAGTTTATTCTTTTATAGGTCTCTTTTATTTCTTTTTTCATATAGCTATTTGCAATGTTATAAGTCCTTAAAAATAAATATTGTGACACTATTTGATCCCTAAGCTTTTAGTTTTGACAGATTACTCTCACCAGTTAAAACTAAATATTTGACGAAAGATTTCTAAAATTTAACAACCGCAAAAAAGTCATAACTTGAAATTTTAAGAAATAGCTGCACTATGTATACAATATTTCATTCACTACTATTAAAACCTGTTGAAAATTTAGAATAATTTACATTTAATGCAAATATTTGTGCAAAATTTTCAGTTGTTATATGATACGAATGTGATTATCTACGCTAAATTTAATAAATCACTTATTAATTTTAATGTTCAGAACCAAAACTAAGCTCATGAAGTACCTTTTATAGCAATGCTCACAAATTAGAAATTAATAGTGCCAATATTCCTTATTTTTAGATAAACAACGAGGAATGATATATATATATGTACCTTGAGGAACCCAATATTGATATTGCCGTAGAAGTCTAAATGCGAGAGCTGTAGCATGTAAATTTCCCTTCCATGCATCCATACCAAAATGATTATTTGTGTATATACCCTTCAATATTTTCTTTATTTCGTCCTCAAAGTGATAAGATAATCCAAGCCTTTCAAGAAAATCGATGTGTTCGAGCAGGGCTAGAGGCTCCAAAACCTGGTCAAGCATTATTTTAACTTTGTCCTTCAACTTGTTCCGCTGGCTGGCATATTTTTCTAACTGCAGTAAACAATTTATAATGCTTATTGACAATGGTGGCGTTATAATTTTTTTCAATGGAGATACAGTAAAATTAAAGATATTATTTTCAGAAATGGATATATATATATATATATAGTCACATCATATTATTGAGTGGGAGCCTAGTTATAATTATTTTTCTTATAAAACCGGATACAACAACGTATTTAAATTATTTCAATGAGAAAGCTGTTTTATTTTTCTTACGAAATAGCTACACATATAAAATTTTTAAACCAATTTATGGGTGAAAATTCAAATTTTAAAAATTGTGTGAGGCACGTGCCGTCACTCAGTGGCTCTGCCGTATTGCTTACAAACGGTAAAAGCACCGGCAAAATATGTAATTTGTAATGCAATGTATTGATGTCAAACAGAATACAATCATTTCGGTGCCATCTATTATAATGATGCATCCTGATTATGATCTTTCTCATACCAAATAGTACTCTTTAATTATGAAATCTACCATTGAATTTTAAAAAGGGATAAAATCATTTTGGTAAAATATTTTGTTGATATCCTATAATTTTAATAATATTAAAACAGTACTTTTAGTATTAAAAAAATTCTTTTGGTAACCTGAAATTGATTTTTAGGACATAAAATGTCTATTCTACTCTCTCACTAGATTAACAACAAATTAATATTTTTTTAAAAATGAAGAAAATATTTTAAACATTTAAAAATTAAAAAAGCAAAATATTTTAAAATGTTTTATAGAAAATATTTTTAAAGTTATTAATTCTATTTAATTAATGAAAATGACAGTTTGGACATTGTATATCTCAAAAATAGGTGTGAGGGTATTGAAAGAATGTCATTTTAAAAGGAAAAGTACCATATTAATATTATTGAACACACAGGGTACCAACGAGATGTTTCAATATAACAGAGGGTACCAAAATGATTTATCGCTTTTAGAAAACAAAAAATATTACTATTATGTATTATTTTTAGGGAAATGTTTTATAGTAGCAACTGTTATTTTATCTTACCTCTAGAAAATGTTATTTTAGTTGTTAGATTTGATTTCTGGTGGCTTAATATGTGAGTAGAAGATGTGTCGCACACTATAAATTTTTAATGTATACATTCACATGTGCACATACTCATTTATATGAGCACTAGTTGAACTCCACGAGCTATATACGTGGGGAGTAATCTGTATGTTAAGTTTTAATTACCGAATTATTATTAAAACCATATGAAATCTGGATATAGGATCAAAAAAATGAACAAAAAGGAAAAAAAAAATAAAGTTTTAGGGCAAGAAGCTACAAAAGAAAAAAAAAGTTGACTAAAATGAATAAATAAATAGGTTCTAGGGCAAAAGGTACCAAAATGAAAAATAAATAAAGTTTCAAGGCAAAAATAAAAAAGTATAAAAAAGACCAAAATGAAGAAACAAATAAGTTTTCAGGCATAAGTAACCAAAACAAAAAAAAAAATACTACGTTCATACTTCTAGTCATCATTACTACGTTCATGCTTAACTTCTACTTCTTTAAAACTATAAACCTAAATTTTAGGCAATATTTTTTTCTTTGTTAATAGTAAAATAGATACTAATATACTTTGGTGAAATAAAACTTCGATAAGTATTTCTTAGTAAAACTCAAATATTTACGATAATTTTCTAAAAACATTTTCAACTTCTTAATATTAAACAATTTGTATATAAAATTCATTTAAAACTTTGAACTTATTTTCCTTAAACATTGCCATATATTTAACCTATTATTTGCATACCATTATTGTTCATGTGCCATTAACGTGATAGTATTTTGCATACATTAACATACATTTTGACTTAAGGTTGCTATGCATAGGCTCGTTGTCTCGTACACTTTACTTTCATTACATAACTTGTTTACATTCATAAACATTATTTACTTTATACACATAAAACTTAATAGAGTTTTCAAAACACGTGATGCATCCAAAAGACTAAAATGAAAAATAAATAAGTTTTGAGGTAAAAAAAAAAGACTTGAAAAAAAAAAAAAGGAAAGAGAGAGGTGCCATTTCAACCAAAACATTTTGTCGATCAAAATATCAGCGTTTTGGTCGAATGTGTTAGAAGGGAAAAAGCTTTTACGCTTTCTATTATAGATATAGATATATAGGGAGATACATGTACAATATTTGTTAATTTATATATGTACATGTACCGAGATCTTCATATGGTATGTGATTCACAGAATATAAATTCCGAAAAAAAAATAAAAAATATGTCTCCATTGAACGATGGTTTCCATGCCTACAATAGTGTTATAATTCCTCTCTCTCTATTTTCTTATCTTTCAAGTGACGCGTAGCTATAGCACCAGCATGCCCGAGCTATTATTTGCCGAAAATTTTATTTTATTAGAAAAAAGAAAAGAAAAAAAAAAAAGGAGAGAATAAAGCGACTAATTTTACCTCATTGGTGTATTCACTTGTAATTGACTGGACGTAATCGAAGTCCCAAATCGTTGGGTACTTGGAGTAGCCAGACGACCGAACAATCTTTTCATCGGAAGTTGTCGTGCCGTTTGCCGCCATGCTTGGCTTGATGTACTGATTGAGTTTTTCCTGGTCTGAAAATCAGAGAAGAGCTCCGGCTATGAGAAAAAGATTTGATTGAGACGAGAAAGGCAGAATTGGTAAAATGCTCAATCATTTGATTGAGTTGTTCATTGCAGTGTGTGTATATATATATATATATCTATAAGAATAATTACAACTAGCTTTTCATAGCTATAACAATCTTTTCTGGTCTAATATTCGAATATTATAGCAGTATATATATCCATAACAATCTTTTCATATCTTGCAGTATATATATCTTAGAATATTATAGCAGTATATATATCTTAGAATATTATAGCAGTATATATATATATATATATATCTATAACATTAATCTTTTCATCGGAAGGTTTCGTGAGAAAATCTAATTATTATAACCAGGGATATTGGTCTGCTCACTATTAATTAATGTACTGCTATAATATTAAGCATATGAATATATAAACAACTACTACGCAAAGTATCTCTCATATTTACCTTATATGCTATGCTTTTGCTTCGCAAGTCTTGTCTGTCACAAGAATACGAAGCATATATATAGCAATATCTGTGACACGAGGAGGATATATGCTTGAGTGTTTCGTGCATGTTAAAATAAAAAATTATTATTGACTCACCTCTTAATAATTTAAATTTTTTAGATGAATTAGTAAACAATAGTTTTATATTTTAACCGTACATGTTTTCCATTTTAAAGGTTAGTTTGGTATTTTTACACTCTTATATATGTATGTATGCATATATATATATATATATATATATATATATATTTATTGTTTGAAAGGTAAAAGATATGAATAAAACATGCAGACGTAATTGCACCATGAGTGGTGACAGGTCGAAGTTGGATGTTGGATGTTGGATTAAAAGTGGTGGTTGTAGATGCAACCTCTCTTTATTTTGTCCCTTTATAAGGATATAAAATATAAATTTTAGGGACGTTATAAAATATAAATTTCATACAATTTTTTTGCGAAATCCCTAGTCTTGAACTGTGTGCCGCCGCCGTAATTCGCTGCTGGCACACCTTATCTTGTCGTGGTTTTCACTTTGTTGAGGACAGTGGACAAGTCGTTCGTGACTTCAATATTCAGCAAATCTCAATTGAATTGTCTTTATTTGGCTTTATTTGTAATCAGGATTGGCTTTATTTGAATTCTTGAATTATTTGCAGTCAAAAAGTTATTCGGAGCCTAATTCACTACGCGAATTCGAGTTTTCAATTTGAACTGAGATGTGATATTTTTTAAGAGTTTTTTATTATAACAGAAAAAATTAAATGTGATATTTTTTTAGAATTTTTTACTGTAAAAATCTAAAACTGAAAACTCTGAAACGAACGAGGCAGATTGGGACTTTACCATTCTACGTTTTTCTTGTTATTTGACTAAGAGAACTATATGCGCGCGATGACTTTTATATTAATTAACCTTAATCGTTTTACGTCCGGTTTATTATTAAATCACATGCAAATAAGAATTTGATCCGTATAATCTCCATAAAATCAGTCGGCTAACTACGAAACTTACTTGAATTATCATGCAAAAAAATTAAATCCTGATTTACCGTAATCGTTAAATTCATTGACTAGAAAATCAATACCGAAAATTAGGATGATGTGTTTGACAAACTCTCAAAGTTTTTTTTTTTTAATTAAAAAATATCAAAACTGAAAAGTTAAGAAGGAGATCGAGAGAACACGCCTGATTAAAAGAGCAACAAAAATCAATAAGTCAAGATTTATAATTAGTTAGTAAATAGGCCTAATAGGTAATCTGAATTGACATTAAGTTAAACATTCTAAAAATACATCTATTTAAAAGGGAGAATGTAATAAATAGCACATTAATGAAATTAAATTAAGTAAATAGTAGATTTTAAAACTATTTGAAAGAAATAGCAGTTTATGTGGTAAATGAATCATTTTTTCAGCTAGTAAAAACATTTTTCACGTAAATTTCCTTTATATGATTAGTAAAAACTATTAAATTATTTTTTATCGATCGTAAACGAGTCATTTACACGGTAAATAATTTATTTACTACTTAAACTGTTATCTATTTCAAATAATTTTAAAATCTACTATTTACTATTTGATTTTAAAAATCTACTTTTTACTACAATTTCCCTAATTATTATTAAAAAAGAAATGAAATCGTAAAATTATTAAAACATCCTAAAACTAGACCCAAAGTCAAGTGCATATCGTCAGAGGAAGTATCGTCATTTTTTCCCACATAAGTATTTTTTCATTAAAAAAAGGAAATAATTGGAAGGTTTTGGAAAATCTTCCGCCGCCGCAGTAAATTACTATTTTTTTTAGAAGTAATTCACCATCGACGGCACCTGTATCC